CACAAACCCACTCGATCAAAAAATGTATATTCTGTTCAATAGACCTCCTAAAAATTACAGAGATACATATGAAGATGTAGATGAAGAATTTAGTACTGTAGTTCCTCAGAATGATAATATATTGCCACGTGTAGACACACTTGAGTTGCAGAAGGAAAATGATTATTTTCGTACTAATTGTCATGGTATTGTTATACGTACGGTATGTATTTCTTAATGTCACGAATTACATTTGTAGCGATAATATTTTTCCTTCTTTTAACATTTAATGATCTTTATTTTTGTTTGTAGAAGGGATAGACCAAACCTTCATCCTAGCGTTACGTGGAGAATAAGAAAATGACAAAATATGATGATGTACTTTCCTTAATATTTTCTTACCATATTATACCATCAAACTATTCTGGTGTAATATTGTTATAATTCAAAGTTATTTATTTATTTTTCAGTTTTTTACTGTAATGGTGGATGACATGTTATAACATAAACTACATGTTATAGTAATGTACTTTTGTTATGCAACGTTAGACAAAGTTGTATTCTTTTTATTTATTTATGATAAGTTAAAATAAGTTGTATTCTTTTCATTTTTAATGGTGTCTGATCTGGTGCAATTAAAAGAATAAATGACAAAAGGGCAATTTGGTCCTTTCTTATAGCTCTTATTCAACACAACTATATTGTTATTTGTTTTTGTTTTTATTTTTTTTATTTTTTTTATTTTCTTCAGAAATTGTTTCTAACTTTACAAAACTTCCATTCATTTTTTTTTCCATTATTTTATACAACCCTTTAATTGCAAAATAAGTAATGTACGTTTGTAAAATGCCATGATTGAACTTTTTGTTCATTTCTAATTCTACCAAATGATATCAAAGATAATTATGGTCAAATTTAAGAGTCTTCCAAAATACAATAGTACAACCAGAATAAAAATTACATATGTGTCTATATTTACATATAGACACATATAATAGCTGTAATCATAACTAAATGGTACCTACGCACACAATATTTGTTTCTTCTTAAAGACAATTCATAATATTTTGACACACATAATAAATGATACATGACCATAAGTAACCAATACTAACTTGTTTTAATTTCTTGCGTTAACTAAGTACAACTAGTACAAAACCGCCCTATGGACACACAAATATTTAGTGTGACCATATGTGTAACCTTTTAGCTACTTTGTCTGTTATATGGCTAAATAGACACCATGTTACAAACACACATAGAGCTAACTCATGTCACCATACGTTAATCTACTGTCTCTCATAAAAAATGTATGACAATTTTAATCGATACATGTGGCTGATTGTGACTTATGGCCTCAGTGGTCGAGTGTGACTAATATTGTCACATTTGGTATAATTAAGTGTGGTTAAAGTTTTGATTATCTATATAATGGTCACACAAACTAATTTAAATGTATCAAAAAACAGTCTCTAAATTTTTTTAGTGACCTTTGGCCACAATTTTAATAAAAAGTGTCACAGGTCGTTTTTCAGGAAGTGTGACCGTAGGTCATTTTTGTACTAGTGTTGTTAATCCATAACAAATATTGTACAAGCGGAAGATTGTTAGATCTATATGCTTAAGAATCATCGTTGAATGATATTTGCTAATAAGATATGATCATATAAGGTCACACCTTAATCAAGTTGGCGCATATTGAATATTTATTATTAATATGATTATTAATAAATAAAATCAACTATTGTATTTAATCAAGAAATTATTATGTATAGAAAAAGCAAATAGAAACTCATAAAGTATGATTTATATGTTTTGTAGCCATTTATATATAAAGATTGTTTATATAAATAAAAAGTGACATGTTAGTATATAATAAGGAGTGGATGACACCTATGTTTTGACCATTTGAGGTTAAAGTCATAGGTTCTCACACAAGGAGGTGAAGCTTCATTCATCTGTATGCAAGTTATCATTCATCTTTAATTTGTCTATTACATGTGATGTATGCAAGTTATCATTCATCTTTAATCTGTTTATTACATGTGATATAATGAAAGGAAGTTATCCCGAAAGAAAACATACAATCATTTTCTCATTGTGATATAATGTTTAGGGTTCGAAATTTAGTTCAAAAATAAGAAAAAGTTTCATCTTTGAAAATTAGTTAAGACCAATTTTCCAGCACTACCAACGTATATTAATAGTGAATACATAAATGCATGTAGTCTAATAATTTGAATTACTTGCTTCATGTTAATAGAAACTATATGTTTCTTAATTTTATTAATATATAAAAAAGATTTATGTAGAATCCTATTATGAATCTCTTATATTCATTTATAACGAATCATGATAACTATGCACACAATCCTATTGATCTTTTATTTCCCTCTTTTAATAAAAAAAAAAGTGTTTTCGCTTAAAGCAAACTCCCGTTGAGTTGGTTCACTGTTTTGGTGAAGACAATAAGATGTCTTACCTTGCATTCACAAGCAACACCGTATCATCCCCTCTTGGTCACCTCCGATTAAAACCCTTTTAATAAGAAATTGGAACCTCCCTTCGAGGGACTATATCCTCCTAGGCGACCCATTACATTAATACAACATTTTGAATTAGTTTCATAAAAAATTTTATGTAGAAGCCCTCTTTATTTCAATTGTGAAGTTGCAAGTATAGTATCTAGTTTTGGGATTTGAAAGTGATATTGGTTGCTACATTATAGTGCAAATGAAGAAGGGGTAGTTGTAGGATTTTAAGGTGACATTGGATTATTGGGTGCTATATTATAGAGCATGTAGGAGAAGGGGAGTGTTTCACTAAAAGCACAAGGAAGAGAAAAAGGGGATGTGAAGGTTTAATGAGTATAATGGATCAATAACTCATGCATATACCAATGCTACCAACCGATCATCAATATTTACTAAGCTTTAGTGGGAATAATAATTAGATGAGAAATTTGACAATAAATCTTTATGAATTCAGGTTTGAACAAGGTTGTACTTAAAAATTTGTTATCAAATGGTTTAATGAATAATTTAGCAAGTTATTTCTCGACCATTGAATTTAAATTATAATATAAAATATTAACTAAAATTATAAAAACTAATTGGTGAAAAAAATGGGATTTTTTTTTTTTTTTTTTTTTTTTTTTTTTTTTTTTTTTTTTTTTACAAATATAAAAATCCATTATATATCTTCATAAATTAATATCGATATACAAATCTAATACATTCATACCAAATAATAAAATCAATTCACTTTTTTTTGACTTAATTATCTTTCTTTTCATTTCTATTATTCGCTTCAATTCAATTTTTCTGTAGCAAACATACCATACTAATATATTTTGATTGACTTGTCTAAATGTTAAAAAATTTGTAAACAATGTAATCTGCGGATACTTATTCCTGTGTGTTAAGTATTTATTTACAACAAAAATCTAAATATTGGTACTGAGATTTGAATAATTATCTTTCTATAGTATTATAGTGTTTTTAAGAAATAAAATTCGGGTTTAAAAACATTGATGAGAGAATTAATAGAATTCACTTCGGATATGCTTTCCGCCTTTTTGTATTATTATTATTTTATTTTCATATGCTGATGCTTATGATGGATTTTCAAGATATTGTTGATTTCACCAAAGTTAAAAACAACCAAAATCTTGTCTTTTGATTCTTTTGTTGTTAACACCCAATGAGTACAAGTGATACGTTGGTTGCCTAACCACTAATATGCACTACCTCCAACCAAGATTCTTCATTGTTATATAAAAACCCCACCTCCCGACCCCATTCCAAGATCATCTTGATCCTAACTATTATACCCAATTATTTAATTAAAATGTTAATTTATTTCCAGTAAGATCCTTTAGTTTCTAAGTAGAACTATGATTTAATTTAATGAATTGATTGCTCTTTTATCGTTGTAAAGAAAATAACTTATTAATTTATTTCATTTTGATATAAGATAAGTTAATTCATTTTTTATAACCCCGTTTTAATACCAAGTAAAATAATTATAAGTTGTTTTAAATCACCAATCTCAAAAACACCCCATATAAACTTGAATGTGAGATGTGAGTTATAACTTCTAAAGATAAAGATTGTTCATAAAGAAATAAGCAAATTTGGATTCTAACGAAAATTAAAGAGCTTTGTATTACTTTCATTTTGAGGAGAATGTGTGAGTTAATAAACAAATCATGATATGCTTTTTTTCATCCTGAAAAAACGCAACGGTTTATTTGATAATTATATCAATTTTTATATTGTTGAAATGCTTATTTTATCCGTTACTAAGAGAATGTAATAAAATTTATGAATCACAATATCAAAAATATTTTATAATTACTATTACTGGGTAAATTAATAAAATATGAGTCTTATATTATAAAAACATTTATGCAGAACGATTAAAGAACGATATATATATATATATATATATATATATATATATATATATATATATATATATATATATATATATATATTATTTATTTCTAAAGAATGACTGCTATAAATTGAAGTAACCATAAATTAATTTTCTTTACCATTTAAGAAATTACTTTCTTTTTCTTATCAATTTATATAAACAAATTGAATTTGTATTAATTCATGCAACAATGTTTTATTATTATCAACATCAACATATGTAATAAATTTAATCTGTGACCAATTTTTAAGAATATAATTAGGTGATTTGTTTTGTTAGTTTAAAACGTTTGTAAATTGTAAATAAGATGTTATATTTTTCATTCGGAAAATATCTTAACTAAGGGCAATTTAGTCTTTTTGTTTTATCATAATCAAATGCACATCTTAAGCAATTTGGCACTCACCATGCACGCGCGCATCTTACTCTATAAAGTCTTCCCCCTTCCCTGTTCATCTTCATCATACATTCTCGTTCAAGCCTTCATTTCTCTCTCTAAAAAATCAAATCCCACTTCTCACTTCATTCTCCTTTCCTTCTCTCTCTCTCTTTTTTCCAGTTTCCTTCCGATTTACATAGTTATGGCCGACATATATGATTGGGATAAAATACTTAGAGAAGACAAATCAAGGAAAAATACAAAAAACCCATCATTTTCTTCCACTCTTCTTGACGAAATCTACCGTTCCATTGACGGAAGCGACGAGAGTTTCGGTGAATTTAAGCTACGCAAACAGAAAGCTGCAAAGAAACAGAGCGTCAAAAGCGGAGGCGGTGACACAGCCGGTGGTGGTCGCGGTAGATTTAAGAGTACCAGTGCGGTGGAGGATGAAGAAGTAGCAAGTTTCCGGCGAGCATGTTTGGTTGATAAATGGATGGAAATGAAGGTTAATGAGAAAGTCTCAAAAGGTGGTAGAAGGCCTACCTCATTGCCGGAATTTGATCGGAAAATCATACTTGATAATGACCCAATGTTCTTTAGTTCTGGTTCAAGTTCTTCCGATTCAAGCTTTGGATGGTATTCAGAAGCCGAAGTGGCGAAACCTAAACCTTCTTGTTTCGGCCCCTTCAACAAGGTGAAAACCAGCATTTCACCATGTTCTGATGTTAAGAAGCAGAACGAGTTTTATTTGTTTGATGAAGATCAAACAAATAAAACAGACCAAACACCTGGTCTAATCCGATCAAAAACCCGTGCGTTAAAGATCTACACAAGTTTAAAGAAAGTAAAGCAACCGATCTCACCAGGAGGTCGGCTGACAAATTTTCTAAATGCCCTTTTTCCAAACGGGCATTCGAAGAAATCAAAAGATTCGGGTTTTGAAGATCCAACTCAAACCCGAACAGAAAGATCATCAAAATCCACAAATGTATCTACATGTTCAACAGCCTCTTCATTTTCTCGATCGTGTTTAAGTAAAAACTCTCCAAGATCAAGAGAACAACTCAACAATGGAATGCGAAGAACAGTTCGGTTTTATCCAGAGAGTGCAATTGTTGATGAAAATTCCCGTTCTTGCAGTAAAAACGTAAGGGGAGAGCAAGATTTTCAGAAATTTCAATGGCAGAAAACAGAAAAATCAAATCTTAGACAAATTCCAACAAGACAGAATGACAATGAAGAAGAAGAAGAAGATGATGACATGGCAAGTGACACTAGCTCAGACTTATTTGAGCTCGATCACTTGAACGTTTTCAAGAATGATCAATATTGTGAGGAGCTTCCTGTGTACGAAACTACTCATTTGAGTACCAATCGTGCCATAGCTAGTGGCTTAGTTTTCTGAATTTGTTATTTTCTTTTGTGTTGGAGTATTATTAATATTTGGTAAACAATTTTTGTTTATATACTAAATTAAAACATTATAAATTTTGTCAAGTGATTCAATGAATGTCGTATAATTCAGTTATCTTAGCAAATTAAATACCCGAATTCCCGACCCATAAAACGTATGGTTGATATTGAATGTCCTTATTTTTGTCAAGAAATAAGATTGATATAGATATTTTATTAGTTCAAAGAATTTGAAAAAAAGAAAGTAAAGGGGTTGAAAGGGCGAGATAGTGACGTTGGGAATTTGGTTGATCCCATGCGGGAGAGAGAGAGAGGGAAAAGTAAAGGGGGGTGATGTGTAAAAAGAGGAAAAGTATGGGGTAAAAATAAAGAATGGAGAAATAGGAGGGTAAAGTGAAAGGTAGATCTTCCTTTGGGGTTTGGGAAAGTGAGTGCTTTTGTTTTCTTCAATGCTGTTTGTTGTTCTTCGATCGCCCTGCCTCACAACTTCGAATATTTTCATCAATAGCAATATACATACTAAGAATGTTTGAGGGAATCTTACTTACGTTATATTAAAGGTAATTTGTGTTGGAAAATTAGTTTTACTAATTTTCAGAAATGAGTTTTTATTTTTATTTTTGAGCACAAATTTTAGATTATAAATATAATCAAAACATTATATATTTGTGTTTTCCTCTATCATATCTTCGTTTTCATATATCACATGTCCAAAACAGTTTAAAAATAAATAAGAAATTACTTATCAAAAGTTAGGTAGTTGAAGAAAACACGGATGTTATTTTTACGAAATAGTTTAGTAATTGTTTTTTGGCTTATGCGTAGAAATTCAAAACTGAAATTCAATTGGGTTTTTTGGTTAAGAATCTAATTTTGTCTATTAAATCTTTGTTATTGATTCCTTCTTTTTCGAGTTCCCTCTTTAGTTGATAAAAATTGAGTTGTTTAAAAAACCAAACAAAGATACCTAAATTTCAAAAAATAGTTAAAAATAAGAAGCTTAATAAAAATTAAAAATGTTTTTAAATATCTTCCTACTAAATTTGGTATTTTATTACTGATAGCATTAAATTGATAAAGAAAAAGCATACATTCTTTAACAATTACATGATACAAGATTTAATGCATGTATAAAAGATGGTCTTAGTCTCTTAGAGCATATTTGTTTGCTTTATTGATGATCGAAGATACAAGACACGATCAAGTTGCTTTTACTTTATTGTAGTGTGAATTTGGGAAAGTTAAAGCTGCAAACAATCTCATGGAAACACACACCTTGGGATCACCAAAGCTTCCCCTCCTTCCTCTTTTAACTTTGTCTTTCATGCCCTTCCTTCCCCTTTTAGATTCTTTCTCAAACAACCAATTATGTAATATCTATATATCATTATATTGTTTCTCATCCAAGTGATATAAAAAAAATCATAAAGATATATCAATTTATATTATTTAATGAGTTTTAAGCGTTTCAATCAATGAACGTAATACATAAGTTTTGATAATATCTTGTGATTTAAGGTTAAACTCATTTAGCCTCAAGCATTGACTTGTAGAAGTGTAAGAAATATTGTTTTGGATTGTGAGTTCTAATTATTGCGAACTTGACCATCTTCATCGTAGTTATTTCTGACTTAATGTGAATTACTTCATATTAATGAACGAATGAAATTGATGAAGATCATCATAATTATCACAGGCTTTATAATAGAAATTGATACGAATTCAAATCTCATATACTTCAATCTTCTGACGACCTTCTTTGTTAAAAAAAAAAAAAAAAAAAAAAAAAAAAAAAAAAAAAAAAACCCATGACTGTGTTCCTAACAAGGTTGCAAACATTGCAAAGACATTGGACCTACGACATTTAAAAGAATTTAATATGTATTATGTAATCATAGCAGTACTAATATGAATTTCTAACAAATAAAATATAAACAACGGTAAAAGATCCTTTACCAGCGGATCTCAAAGACTATCTAATAATTGTTGAAAAACAGTAAAACACTCATATTCTAGCTTAATTAACCCTAGATTAGACAAATAAAAAAAAATTATTTAACATTTATAAAAATACAATCTCTATGGATTCTGTAGGATCCTAGATGAATAATATCATGCAAATATCTATAGATATAAAGTCACCCCAACTGATAAATAAAATTATGTTTTGATAAATTATTTGTTCTAATCATATGATCATGGGGAGGTGGAGATTTTTGGGTGTGGGACCCCTCTATTGTTCCAAAAAAACTCGATACAATATTTGCATGCTTCTCATGTAAGTAATCATCTTTATTAATTAAGATCATGTATACTAGATATCGCATATATTAGTTAATATAGTTTAATATAGAGATGTCAACGGGAGCAAATAGGGTGGGAATTGCATCTCCCGCCACCACCTACGAAATTTTCGTGTTCACTCGTCCGCGCCCTTGCTCTTGCCCCCGAAATCTCTAGGCTCCCCATCCCCGCCCTGAATACCTATATTACCACCACCACTACCCCCGTTTCCCTGTCCCCGTTTGGGTTGATTTTTTTTTGGGCTAACAAAGTTGTCGTTTAGGTCAAAAGAATGTTTTTTTTTCTCTCCTAAAAGAAGCTATATTTAGGTAAAAATAGTTATTTATAGCATAATTTTACATGTTTAAAATAAAAATTTTATAACATCTCAAAAACGTTATACTAACAACTTAAAAACATGGTATTTTATCGAATTTCGAAAGTTCAAAATCATTGCTATTATTTATTATATTTTTATTATTAATATATATTAACATAAATAATATATTAATGGGACCCCCATTGGGGGTTCCAGACGAAACTACCCACCCTCGCCCCCACACCGAAATTAAAATGGGGTTAGCCCCGCCTCTACCCCTGCCCCCCATTTTTTAAACAAATATTCCCCATACGGGTTGGGGCTCCCCGGGACTTTTTGACATCCTAGTTTAATATATAATAAATTAATTAAAATCAGTATCAAAATTTAATATTCTCAATTGATACCCCATCCCACTTAACCCACGTCAACACCTCCCACGTACCTATTCGTCTGTGAATCATTCCCTTATATTCTTTGGTGAACATAAGCCCTGAAAATCTTCACGGTGACTGGGATTTATCATCCCCTCCCCTTATCCATCTCTAATGCCTTGCAGAATACTTGTAACGGAAGAGCTTTGTTGCCACTGTGGAAGGCCACCGCCACCGTGCATGCTATCCCAGTGCCTCATAGTGGTTGTGGTGGTGATGGATCAATGTTGTCACCACCACATTTGAGAACAAGACTTCTTTTTCTCGTGCAACCATTTTCTTCCTCTCTTTTTCACGATGGTGAGTATAGGGGTTGTGCATGTGATAGTAATGTTTGCTGACCTGGAAGCTCTCCATGCCTCTTGGCACAGGGAGTATACTAGAAGGCTTAAGTATTTTAAAAATCATTGAAAAATGTTTCAAGAATCAAACATTGTCAACACTTGGTGAAGCTCCATTTCAAATATAAAAATATCCAAAACAACCGGAATGCCCATGGTGCAAGAACTTCCCAAAATTAAAAGATGGTTATAATGATATAGGGAAATGTCTATTGAATTCATATTCAAATGCCTATCATGCAAGAACTTCCCAAAAAAAAACTAGGATTCCCGTGGGCACCTTGTTGTGTGATATTAAATCTCTAAATGTCAACAAAAATAAATGGATATTTGAGGTTGAGTTTGAAAAGGACTTGTTAACGTATTAACTTTCCAAAAAATCAATAAACTTTAAAAAATATTTGAGAAATATAAAAAGTGTTTTTAAAATTTTTTTTTACTAAACATTTAAAAAGAAGTAATCAACTTATAGTTTTTTATTAACACATAAGCTAATCAAACTCTTTTATCACCACATAAGCTAATAAGCATTTTTTTTTTTTATCAAAATATTGTTTATTAAGTTAAATAAGTAGTCCCACACACACCTAAAATATGTTTTTGCCATCTCTAACTTTTCTTCTTTTGGGTTTAAATATTTGTTGTTTTACGTTCTTAAGCGGTAAAGTAAATGTAGAAAGACAACAAAAACTTAGAAACTCTCTATCCCTATTTTCCTCATGTAAGTTGTCTTTTAATATCAATAAAAAAAAAACCTTCTTTTGCTTAACTCTTTCGACACATGTTTTCTTTGTATTTCATAGTAGAAAAACTACATTTTGCTCATTGTTTAGACCACCAACAGTAGCATACTTTGATCCATTTGGGTTTATAATAAGTGATATCGGAGCCATATTATTTGTATGTCCCAGTATATGGAAAGAAGGGGCACGGTTGAAGGTATTGGTGATCAAATGATGGGGAAGATGGTAGTAGTACTTTACACTATCGAATGCTTATGGTATGAACTATGAAGTGCATGCTACAAAAATTTGGATGGATTTACAAGAACATGTAGTGTAAGATGAAATTCAAAACATATTAGTGGAGGAAGGGAAAGATTAAATGATGTTTACGAATATTTACCAAGTAATTTTCAAGAACGCACTTCTAATTTTAGCTGAAAAAGACACAAATAAAGAAACATGGATCCTAAAGTTTTAAGACCCAAAGGTTAATAGCTTATAGAAGGTGCTTAAAGGCTTTAATTTTCCTTCTTTTCTCCTCAAGCAAAACCATATAGTATCTTCTTCTTTCTTTCTTTCTCTTAAAGTCTTAATACAATAGAAAAAGCTTGATACTTTTAACTCTCTTTTAAGAAAATTTTTGGTTTTTGCTTAAAAGCTTAAAAATTTAATAATGTAAGCAAGGACTAGCATCCAAGGTGTTTTTATTACTTGGGGGTAAACTTCTCTAGAGTAATTTTATTTTGGGTTATTTTCATCTTCATCAATGTCTAACCTCTCAAGAGGAATCAAATACATCAAAGGTTGTTGTTTCCTAACCCTTCTATGAACGTGTTTGATCTTTCATGTTCATTTAAAATGATCCTTGATTGGAATAAATTATATTTATG